GATCCAGTGAATTTAACGCGCAGATCCTGGTAAGCAGACAATGTTACCTTGTTTACTTGAATATTGTATGCTAATCTGCAAAGCTGTTGCCACAGTTATTTACCACGTGCTTTCAGAGGATAGTACTTGATAATCAGTTGCCATGATCAGGAGTGGTGAGGGTCACGGAAAGTCTGAAATAAAACGTCAATGGGTGATGGCTGGATTCAGTAAAACAAATTTCTTTAAGGAAGAAAGCCAGAACGGAGATTGCTTTATCACTACCCTGCAGAAGGGCATCATTTCGCAATTTTTATAGCGAAAATCTCTTATTAGCCCCCAAATTTAGTTGCAAATTGTGTGTATATGTATAATACGGTAATGGTAAGAAGAATTTCAAATACCAAGGAAGAGGTCAGGAGGGGTGGGGAACAAATGTAAGGTGAAGCTGGGCCAAGGCTAGGAGGAGAGGAAGCGGATGCAGTTAGAGATTGTGTTAAAGAAAATAATGTGGCAAAAAAGCCAGTCTTTTGTTTGTTTGGTTGTTGTTTGTTTGTTTTTTTTAATTCTTCCACATACAGATAACTGCCTGGTGATGTTTAATTAGGCATACAGAATTAAACTTATATTTAAAATTATGAAGTATTTGTATTTTCTTCTGTTTTTTTCCTTGTCCGTGAAGATGACGCTTAGACTTTACTACCATATGTCTCAGCTGTTAACAGCATAATGTGAGATGTATGAACTCGTTACATGCATTACCTACCTGTATGAAAGGTTTACTTAAATATTGATTTATATTTCAGATACTGTTAAGATATCATGGTTAAGATAGCACTGGTAGTTTTAAATGCATTCATTTATGACTTACTGAGATTCTGTTAATCATTAGCATCCATGGCTTTCTGAACAGTAATTAGAGGAGCATATATAAAGCATGATATATCTGTGCTTCTGTAGATCATATTTATTCATAGAAGACTAAGTGGTTGCAAAAGTAAACACGCTACGAGATTGCAATTCAGTGAATGAACAGATCTCACTGTCCATGTATATCATATATGATGCTTTTTGATATTTTGTTACATAATCCACAAATACTTTTATATCAGTTACTTCCTTTGTTTAAATATCCACTTTTTAAAATAACGCTTATCACACCATAATCTACAAAACTAATGTTTTTGTAATTTTAACTTCAATAGTACCTATTCCCTCCTGGAAGATAACAGGAGGATAGTAGACAGCAAATGACATTTATGCATATGGTTCATTAACTGTCTCTGGCTCCTTGTGCAAAACAACTGTATAATCAATCATAAACTGGTCACTGACAATTTTAATTACCAGTGGGAAAAGTAAAATCACCGTTCTCTTTAAGAAAACTAGGCCATCAGATCTCTCTCCTGTATGGTTTTCGGTGAACGTATGAAAGTTCAGTCAAATATGAAAAATGAAATAATATAAACTAGAAAGGACATAAAATAACTTTGACGTGTATCTCCTGTAAGAAGGAAGTAAAAATTCTTAGTCTGGTATTTTTGTGTGTTTAGAGCATTTAGGTTTCTATTCAGATGAAAATTCAGGATTGTATACATCTAGCCGAGAAGCTGTTCTGTGAAATTGCATGGCTCTTCGTCATACTGAAACAGTTGGTCTACCTGCTGTTACTTAAACCTCCTTATACGCTTTATTCAATTAAGCTATTGTTAAAAGTTCTTCACACGTGCTAAAGATTTGAAATGTGAATCATACTGATTTCTGAATACATATAAATGCAATCTCTGGTAGAAGTTTGAAATGCTTGCAAATTTGGAGGGCTTTTTTGTTTTGTCTTAATAAATAAGTAGCTGAATATATGTGCATTTTTTCCCCCAAAGTGATGGTAATGCTTATAATGCTCTGGTGTCTTGACCCCTTATTAAAATTTAGGTGGAAATGGAATAAGAAATTAGTGTAGAGGAGAATGCTGCCTATTACTGAGGCATTTAAATTTCAGAGCAGGTATTTTTCTCTTGCAATCTAACTTGCTTTTAAAAAGAAACGGAGGAAGATAAAACTACGTTAGTAAATGCTTGTGCTGTCAAAATTACTTCGGATTGGTTTTCTGTTTCTGGGCTTAGGATGTAGGTTGTTAAGGATTTGTTAGAAAATAGTAAAGCTTTCTATGCGTTGTTTCCATTGTTATATCTATGCTGTTGTGTAAAATGATATTTTATGGGAGTTTTTGTTATGCAGGATTTTCTCTGTGAGCGAGAATGCCCTTAATTTCATCCTGGAGTTCACGAACTGGAAGAGACTTCCTCCAGCTGTAGAGCAAGACCTTTCAGACTACAAAGAGAAGTTCACTTGGACTCCCAAGAGCCATTTTGGTAAGCAATACAGTTAGGAAAAAAAGTCTCCGTGTATGTCAGCTTCCAGGCTGTAAGTGGGAAGCAGCTCTGTGTGTTAATGCACGATGGCAAAGAAGGTTCAACAGTCGACAGACATTGCTTGTCCAGAAGCTGGGGAGCAGAAATAGCAGTTACCCTAAACAAACAAGCAAGCAAAACGTATTTGAATGAATTTTACTCATTACATTGTTCAATTCATAGTTAGCATGCTTCAAGTACGTATTCTCAGTTTAGGCTATCTTGTCCACTTCAAATTAATGCATGTGCTATAAAATATGGGTAGTGACTGTAAATTGGTATTGCACCTTCCTGAAATGATCTGTTCAGCCTCTTGGGAAGATTTAAGGGAAGATGATCAACATTACCTGGTTATGTTTTCTAGGCAATATCCCACTGCTTTTACGCTTTTTAATTTGATTTGTATTTCCAATGAAGTGTCTATCCTGTTCTGCAAGCATTTGACTGTAACTAAAATACAAACCATATAAATCATCATATTAAATACCTACAAATCTAGCTGTTCATTGTCACTCCTGTAATCAAAATGTGGTCAGCCAGAAAGATTCAATAATTGATTGTCCAGGAAAACACTAGTGCTCACTAGTGCTTCAGAAAAGCAGCTTTACCATACAGGTCATGCACTGTGACCTATGCATTATGTTACTGAAAAATTGCGCTCAGATGTCTTTGTTAGTGACTCATTTCAAAGCAAATTCTTTAAAAGGGTCTGTAATAATTTTTAAAGTGTCTATGTGATAATGTTGTTAAATAATACTTCCTTTGGAATATTTGAAGCTAATTAGGATATCTTTTTGGAGTAAAGAGAAAAAAGGTTTCATCTGGGGAAATTTAGATGAAGTTCTTTCTTTGTTTCCTTTGCTATTAGTAAATATATTTGTGTTGTAATAGCATCCAGTAACTAAAGCCGAAGAGAGAAAGCAGGGGGGGAAGTTTGAAAGTTTTCACTTTTTCATTCTTTCAGCCAAGAGCGGTCAGGGCAAGCAGGCTAGCTGCTGTGCTGAGAGGCAAGCTTCCCCGCTTGAGAAACACCAAGCACTCGAACTGAGATACGCTGGTCATGTGAGTGAGCACAGGAAATTAAAAATGAAGGGTTCGTGCGGAAAAGTCAAGAACTGGCGTTCACACCTCCAGCTGAAGGCTTGCAAAACGTATGGTCCCGTGGAGTTACGTCCCTGCCATACTTACCCTTCTATACTGAAATACAGAAATGGTTGCAGTTAATATTACAGATTCCTTGTGAATAAAATAAATGGAGAAGCCGCTCTAGGAGAGTTTGGAGGCACTAGAGTTCTGTATCAGGATAAGTTGATCTGTAACGTGAAAGTTTGTGTTTGAGCGAATGCACATTTACAGACACGTTTGTGTATCTTTTGGCACAGTGGTTGTCCTAAGTCAAGTTATTGAGCAACATGTTAGAACATTTGGCATCATATGCCAACAGAGTCATGCTGTCATTTAATACTTATCCTAAAAGTGTTTTCCCTTGTGTTATTTTGTTGCTGGATTTACTTCTAGACTTAATTTTTCATTTTTTGTAAGGTGGCATGAGCCCCTCTCTCCCCAAGCAGGTAGCTGTTCTAGGCTGGTTAGATGAAACTTTCTGATTAAGGATAAAATGATTCTTTGACACTTTGTTTCTAGAAGTTTAAGGTAACTTTTCTAGCTCCTATAGGGAAATTCTGAAAATGCTGATTCTAGCAGGAAACAGCCCTTCACTATCAAGAACTCTGCCAGAGATTGGGGGGGGTTCAGATGGGATCCAGCTAAACAAGGTAACCGTAGGCAAGCAATGTAATCCCATGGTGTCCTGTTCGGTGTTTGACTTGTTCTTTAATTTTTCAGCCTTCATTCCTTCCCTGTCTCATCTTTGTCGTCTTGAGATCCGGTCCATTCTAACGAGCGAACGCCTGCGATCGGACCGGTTTATCCGGGAATTGCCATTGCCAGCTTGTCTCCAGGACTACCTTCTCTACTTAGATGTACTGCGAGTCAACGCTATCCCAGAAGCGGAGGATTATCTGGGGCAGAGAGAGGAGGGAGATCCCTCTACCAGTCACTCCAGCACTGAAGATGCAGAGAGGGGGGACGCCTGTAAGGCCGGTGTTAGGTGATGGCGCTGCCAGTGACTGAACTCTGCGGCTGCAGATTTTGTAACGGCAACTAGCAGAGACCGGAGGAGAACTTCTGTAAATAACTGTAGTAATAAGTCTTTTCATGCTGTAGTTTTATACTGTATCTAGAAGTTCGTTAGAAGTTCTATGATTTACTTGTTTAAAAAGCCTGTTGTAGCTTTCTAAGTCTGTGAACATTTTCTGGTTTTTGAAAGGAAACTTTTAACTCTTACGGAGTAAAATTAGCTTGTTCAATGAACATAGCTTATATAGCGGTCGAAATCTATTTGGTCAGACACTGCTAGTAGACGCTTTATTCTAAGTACTGCATATGCCAAATGAAATTATCTGAAAGTCAAGGAACACAATATTGTAGTATTGCTATGAATTTATGCGTTGGGGAGTGATCTAGCTGAACCAGAGATAGGAAAGTAATATAAGAAAGGAAGTTTTTTGCTGTAGGAACAGTGATTTTTCTTTTTTTTTTTTTCCTTTCCCTGGTCATCTATATTTGGCGGAACGTCAGAGTGGGAGGCTGGCTTGGAGCCTGCACCCAGTCCCTCCCCCTGCGTAGCCCACGGGCAAGGCACAAAATGTCCCCACAAGCACACCGACACGACACCACGGTACAAAAATCCCTTCTTCAATGAAGTGAAAAAGCAACCGCTGTCCCCACAGGGTGGGTGACAGGGCCGGGGCAGGGACACCTTGGTGGAAGACAGCTGCATCCCTCGCGCTGGGAAAGCCCTCGTCCTGCAGAGGCGAAGCCGGCGCTGCTGGGCTTCACTGGTAGTAGATGCTGAAGGCGTGGAGGATGTACAGGAAGGTCGTGATGAAGGCGAAGAACTGCACGAGAGGAAGAAGAGCAAAAGCTGGGGTCAGCTGGGAGAGTCTAACCCCATCTCCTTTCGGTGCTCTCGACCTGGGGAAACCTCCCTGCCTAGACCTCTCTCCAGCCTCAAAGAAGAGGCAAAGCCCCCCACATTTCCCAGGAGGCAGCCACGCAAGGCTGTCCATGAGCTGCTGGACCCTAAGAAGCCCACGCTGGCTGCACGACACAGCTGAAGCTCTGATCAGTGTGACACTGCTGGGCTTGGGATGGCTCTGCTGTGGCTTCAGTATTTGCTCTTGCATCTCCCCAAGGGGAACTGCAGGTGCTCCGGCCTGCCTGGGGTTTTCTGGACTGACTCACCGATGCGGCGCTGTTGAGCTGGTAGTAAAGCGGCGAGTTGGGGCTTAACTCAGATCTGATGGTCGCGTTGGCTTGCAAGACAGCAGCGCTCAAGTACAGAATGGCTGTGGCGCCGTGGTACAAACTGTCCTGCAAAACAAGGGAGCGGCGAGGATCAAAGCCTGCCCGGGACTGTCCTCCTCTGATTCACCCTGAGGACGAGGTCCATCCTCTGCACATGCGAGTGCTCGAACGGGACGGACACACCCAGACAGGGGCTGGGACCAAACCCTCGTAACCGTGCCGAACCCTCCCCTGTGCCCAGGCAGCACCCATGGCATAGCACAGCTTCGCTCGGCATTTCCAGTCAAGGCAAAAGGAAGAAAAAGGGCTGGCGGTTTGCAGAAGGGCCGGCAGCTGGCCAGCTAACCCATCGCCAGCCACGGTGGTCTTGCACCCACACTGCTGCTGCCAACATCTGCCGGTGTCCCAGCCCCTTCTTACCAGCACTTTCCAGTTCTCGCTGTTTTTGTGAAAGCCCAAGAGGTAGCTTAAGAGGAGCAGCAGGGAGATGAGGCAGGAGCTGAGGGACACGTACATCACCCATCCCTGCAGCAGCGGGAAGGAGACGGAGGTAGCAGCAACAAGGATCCACACCCAGGTCCCGCAGAGCTGCCGGGGACAAACACAGGCACCTCCAATGAGTGTGGGATGGGGAAAGCCCCTTCTCCTCCCCGAGTCCCTCCTCACCTCCCTCCTGGGCTGGCCCCAGCAGCTGTGGGAAGCCCTGTGTCTTTGGGCAGCGCGGACCAGCCTCCCGGAGCATCCCGGCAAGACAGCAGCACTGCAAGCTGGCACAAGATTCCCTGAACGCTCTTGGGAAATACTTCAAAAAGTGTCTTACAAAAGGGAAAGGTTTGCTGCCATGTTTGACGCAAGGAAACATCTCACCCCAGGGACTTTGGTGGAGAAGCCAGAAAATGTGCTTTTATCTGGGAAAGGTGAACGGCCGCATCGCCCTAGCCCTGCCCGCTTGTTAATCTCCTGGGCTTGAAATCGTGGCACGAGGAAGTCTCCTCCTGACTCCACACACCAGCCCAGAGTGAGTCCCTCGCTCTGGATCCACCTAAAATATTTACCATGCACAAATAGCACACGGGGTTATCTGGATAAGCTCACGCCACCCTGTGCTGCTTCAGTTTCGGTGGATGAAACTCCCTCAGATTTGCAGCGGGGAGCTGAGCTCGTCGGCACGGGCAGCTCACGGCAAAGCCCAGCCACAGCGATTGCGCCCGTGGAGCGTGGGTGGTGCGCGTCGCCAGCACTGTGTCACGTGTCAAAGTACACCAGCGGTTATCTCGGCCAGTCCCACCAGATGCCCTCTGGACCCAGAAGCCATTGAAAGATTCATGGAATGTCACGTTACAAGACACCCAACTGCCTTCAAGCCCTTGGAAAGACTTAATACAGAGAATGAAACTCCCTTGATTTTCAAGCAATTTCTGTGCGATAACTAGAGCTGCTTCTGCTCCGGAGGCACCGGCAGCTCTTCAGCCTCTCCCAGCCCCAGGGCAGCCGGTGACCCCCGCACGGGCTCTGGGATGGAGCTGGAACATATCTTGTCTTCAAACTGTTCCAAAAAAAACACATCACAAAGACCACCTTTGTGCATTCAGTATAAGCTAAAAGACATTATTTCCCATTAATGCTGTCTTCAGGATCGTTTTGGGGGCTGCCCCCTGATTTTTAGGTTCGCTAGAGCCATTAGTGGGGTGCTGTAACGCCGCAAAGCTCGGCATACTCACTATCTCCGGTAGCATGAACGCATAGGGGATGGTCTTGAAGACGGCGGGTCCGGAGGGCAAGGCAGGCTGACTGGAGGCCGCAGGGCCACACACCGAGGCCATCTCTTCCAGCTGATGCCACGACCGCTCCGGCTCAGCTCCGCTCACATTTGTCTGCGCCGTGCCGCTCCCGTGCAGGGTTTTAACCGACACACCCGCAGGGACGTAATCACAGAAACCAGCCCAGGCTGGCACCACGCTGCTTCCTCCGGCTGAAGGAGACCTCAGGAGCCCTCCGGTTATTGCGGCTGACTTCACACACCCTGCTGCCAGCACTGGGACGGGAGAGCAGCGGGACCCCGGCCCCACCACCGGCACACAATCAATTCAAGGTCTTTAATGAGAGGGGAAAGGAAAAAAATCCTACACCACGCCGGGGGAGAAACGTTTCCTGCAATCAGTTTTTGTCCTTGGCATACTTTCAAGCCTGAAATGTTTTTGCTTTTGTTGCCTCCTCCCTTTTCTGTTCAGGTTTCTGCTCTGTGTTCACGTCAGACTCCCCCACACCCACCGGGCACGTCCAGCCTTTGAAAACTTGCAGCCAAACATTTTTTACAGGTAACTCAACACACTGATAAAAGACAGGAGGGTTTGCCCGCGTGCTCCTAAATGCCCAGAAAGGTCTGAAGGACAGCTACCGGGACAGCTTTGATTTCTACCTCCTGGCAGATGCGCTTTGGATTCGACAAGTACACACTGTTTTTTCCCCAGAGGACTCTGCCTCACGCCATAACTCACCGATAACTGGTGAAGGTGGCATCTCTGCCTTGTGGCCTAGTGAAGTCATTCTGTCCTCTCTAACTCAGGCAATACTCTGCAGCAGGAGGAGGACGATATCCTGGTAAGATATCGTATTCCTCTGTTAGGAGAGCCAAGTGATGCCCTAGGAATTTGGCTTCTATGCCGAGCGCTTGCGCAATACAGAGCAACAAATCCATGGTGTTTCTTATTGTCCAAGCCCCTCCTAGGCCGGGGGCAAGTGCTTTGTGGCATTTCTGGAGGCTCCAGTTTACAAATGCTGTCAGTGGGAGCTGGCTTTGGGCTCCATGCAGCGTGCCGTGGTCTTTGAAAGATCTTACTTTAAAACATTTCACACCAGACAAAACTAGTGCCTGGCTCGGACTTAAATCCACGTGTGACTCGGTGCCCGCCTACCTCGTCGGACACGGTGGCAACGTAGCTGTCACCGTGCAGAAAGCATCCAGAGACTCCAGCACAACAGAGAAATGGGATTAATAGCTTCCCGCTGGGAGCGGGCAGCACATACGGCCTGTGGTTACAAACTGCTCAGGGAAAAGAAGCCTTTAACGTCCTGGTCCACCTGAGGAATACCCCGCAGCTCATTAGCCTGCCCTAGAAAGTCAGCACAGAGGGAGCTACCGTATGGCGTGGCCATGCGCCGGGGAAACACAGCATGCCCTGAATTCTCACCAGCTTCCAGTTGTATTAGGTGGGTCAAGCACATTCCTGTGAATAACCCAACCCTTTCCTGAGTGGGAAAGAAAAACAGTAAAACAGTCTAAATACGGAGCAACCTGCTGGCCACTGATTGGACAAGAAATGATTTTCTTTCCGAACCTGGCTGACCTTGCTCAGCACCATTCTTAAAGATCATTGCTATTTTCCTTGCCTGTTACCACTCTGCTGGGGTAGTGTGACAAAGAGTCTTTTGTTCGTCCTGATTAAAACAAAACTGGAAATTAATTGGAAGCTGCATGAGAGGAGAAAAGCGCTGCCTCAGCATTTGCTCCGCTTAGGCAAAATACGACACCTGATGTGGCTACAACAGGTACGTGTAGCAACAGACAACCACAGCCTTGTCTAACATTGCAAAGTCAAAAATTTAAAATATAATTTCCATTAGTTCAACTGGTAAAATAATTTTAGTCTCTCAAAATGTTAGTGTTAAATGTGTTAAAATATTCATTACAATTCAGATAGTACACAGTTTCTCTTTGGTAAGAATTTATTTATATTGTTACTCCATTGTTATATAGCCTGAATTGTTCTTCTATAATCCATTCATACACCAGGATTGTTTTTCCTCGTTTCTCCTAAGAAATCGTAAGACAGCTCTGCGATATCAAAGGCTTTGTGAGTGTTCTCTGACGACAGCAGATACTGAAGCGCACCATCATTCTCTCGGCTCTTTTCCAAAAAGTCAGCAATCACCTTCCAGCGAGATGCTTCCGACTCTTCCTCAGCCCACTTGTAGTCGGGGAGGAAGGTGGACTGGAGGAGAGGGAAGACAGAGTCGTGGTACACCAGGACAAACAGAGACTTCAGAAATTCTTGATCTCTCTGCAGAGAAGAGTATTTGAAAATACTTCAGTGCAAATACGCCAACAGTGTTGCCAAGCACTTCTACAGAAGTATTGTACATAGGGGGGAAAAAAAAAAAGACAAGAAAACATTCAACTAACCCCCGGTTCCCACGATAACAACAAGAAGAGATTTGACCTTCCTAAACAAACATCAGTTAGCTCAGATGAGCCTCAAACTCACCACCAAGAACTACGCTACATAAACTATAGATCGACAAATCTCTTCTCCGACCCACCTACTTTTCCAAAAACGACAAAGAGCAGCGATATGCAGCCAGACCCTGCCAGCGTTACCACAAAACAGCAACCTGTACAACAGTCACCGAGAGCCCTTTGCTCACGGGGTATTTGTATTTCTGCCTAAAAACACCAGTGTGTGACAACAGCCTCTGCAGGTACAGACTGAGACTGCCATGGCCGCCGGGGAAGTGCCACATCCTCCCCGCCTTGGAAGCCGAAACTCCACTCGTTTCTCTACTGCCCTAGATGGAGAGTTGCAACAATCCCACGCTCCTCGCAGCGCATGGCTCTTACAGTGCGACCTTACCTCCTGCTAAGTACTGTTATTTCACACTTTGACAGGACATTCTGTGTGTGGCGAGTATTGTACCCTCCCCTGTAAAGACCAGTTTGCAAACCCCAGAGACTAAGAATCAGCCTGGTCAGTTATCAAACACCGAAAGATCGCGACCACTCTAACTAGACAAGATTTGTGTGCCTCATTTTCCACACGCACACTAGAAAAACCCCTTCATGCAAGAAGGACACACACGGAGCTCTGCCTCCTGGAAAACTCACTGACCACCGAGACTCTTCCAGAAATGTGAGCGCTGTGACTGGCGTTGAACAGTTCACGCCTCAGCAGGAGATTTAGCAGCTAAGCATCATATAACCATGCAAGAAGGAGTAAGAATTGGCCAGGCAGCAATCCTACCATGGGAGTGGCACATGACAAATCAGGTAAAACTGGATGGTTCTGGGATACCGAGGAGTTACTAATTCTTTGAGCAGATCAGCTTTCATTTTGGATGAATGGCCTTGAAAAAGCGATTCTAACTCAACAGCATTTTGTTTTGTTTGCATAAATGGGGAGATCTCCTTGTGTATCTATTCAGCAGCACGCACAATGAATGAAATAGCCTGCTGCTGCTCCCAAGTGAAGTGTCTTGGATGAAGAGCCAAAGCCTTTCTCATTCAGTTACCTACAGCTTCTCTTTGTCCAGAGGATAGGAGGTAGGGCAAGGTACGGGTAAGCCTGGTGACATGGCCAATTCAGTTCTTCTCCAGCTGTCTACACACCAAAATGGGAGGCTACAACTGTCTGAGGTAGGGAGATTCGCAGAATTTGGGGGCCTTTTTCCAGGCAGACGGCGGGAGGACTGGAGCCCGGAGGTTGGAGGAGGAGAGATTATTTTGTGGACATGCACGGCCCCTTTTGTACCAGTGGAAAGCTTTTACCAGTCAAGTATTGGAAGCACATCGTGAAAGGGAGCCACGCTTTGGGTATGAACCTGTAATAGCTTCCCCGCTAACAACCACATACAAACACTGAGATGAGAAGTTACAAGTTAATTTCATATTCCTTCTTCTCCTAGTTTACTGTTATAAATATGGGTCAGAAATGTTAAGAACTGCATTTAGTGTATCTACATTTTCTACATAAACGTATAGTGAGAGGAAAAGTTAACTAGCAGGAACGCTGACAGAAAGCTTCTAGTCCGAATTAGACTGAATATATGTCAGAGAAAAACCTGTAATTTATTACCTTCTCAGATCTCTTCAACGTTCTTTCTCTGTCTGCCCAAGCACTCTAAAATGAAATGAAATGAAAGGTAAAATCAGACTGAGATTGTGGAGATCTAAAGCAATTCCATTTTTAGCTGCAAAAATCTCTCTCGCTGCAGTCCCGCAGTAGTTTAAGCTCCTGTTGCAGTCCCACTTTCCTCACACTCCCCATTCCTCCCTTGTGCCAGCTGAGTTGATTTAAGCAAACAGCCATTCCACCAACTTCTACAGATGCGAGGATTTGGAGATTTGAAATTATCAGAGCTATATAAATGAAACACAGGGGATCCACTTTTCAGAAAAATCAAACCAAGGTTGATTTATTCCCCCCCCCACCCTACAAGCATGGAGAAATACAGCCTAACCCCAAAGGCTGACAACGTCTAACAGTAGTGTCCTTCAGGCAGAAGTAACTCAGCTGCTGTTGTCTGGTACTAGGACACCTGCGAGGGACTGCAGGGTAAATACGGTGAGCACTGTCCTGCCCGTCAGAAGCCAAGTCACCTCCTACCTATCGTGAAATCAGCACTGTCCTAGAAGCCAGACAAACATTCAGACAGCTCATCCACCTGCGCACTCTCTTGCTGCGGCTACATGGCTGGCAGTGCTCAAACTAGCCCAGTTATGTCTTTGCATCCCTTCTGCATGTACTCAAGCGTTCTCTTGCAGTTTTGAAGGCACTAAGACACAAGAGATCTGCGCTTGAAACGATTATAACTTTTCTGCTGTTTGGCTTTTCCATTTATCTTTTCACAGGATAAAAAAGCTCAAATTTTGCAAACTATCTGGAAATCCTGACACATCAGATGTAATTGAATGCTACGTAGATAACATACCCGAAGTGCATCCATCAGGTCTGGCTGATCCACGAGTTGAGGGAAAGTTGCTAAAATAGGATTACAGATTAATTCTGAAACAGAAAACAAACATGTTCAAGGCTAAGGAAGAAAGAGGATGGTTTTCAAGGTATCAACACATCAAGGTATTCAACATATCCCCTCCCCTCAGATTATTTCAAAGGGAAAATTAGCTGTAATAGTACTCCAGAGCAGCAGGGAAAGTAGAAAAGTGCTCTAACAACTGCATTCTCTGACTGTAGCAAACTCTCCGTGGCTGAGACACACACAAAACATGATTGCTGGTTTATTGGGAGAAGCCAGCAAGCAAGAGACGTTACAGATTTAACCTAGGGGTAGCTTGAGGTGTTTTTCCTCATTTCTGCACCTGTCTTTTTTATAAACATCTGAAATTGTGCTGCCTGATTTGGATGTTATGAATAAACACACCTTCATTCTACCTTAATCTGGCTTGCGTTGTGTGCGGTTTTAAGACAACCGGGTAACAAGTGGCATAGTAAATTTACCAAATGGGGCACGTCATCAAGCGGCATAGGTATCCTGCGTGCCTTTCAGGTTAGCTACCGCGTAATAGCTGGGTCTCCTGAGCTGAAGAGGCCGGCTGTATGAAAATCAGGCAGGGCAGAGCGGCCTCCCCGTGACAGGCAGGAATGGAAGCTCTCTGTTACAAAGCACAGCAAATCTCAAACCCCGGTGGCGCAGGGGTCTTGTCATTATTTTAGTTAATGAGATTGCGGACATATAGAGGAATTTTGGTTCAAGTGTTTTCTTTCTCTTGTGATTTTAAATATTCAATGTACACTGTTGTTCTTCATGTTGAAGTTGATGGGAAGTTTAGTAAACGCTAACCATTTACTAGTAACAAAACTTTTCACAGAAACAAGCCAGAACTGATTGCTTTTGTGAAATATAAGACATTTTAAGTTGCCTATTTCTAAAGTGATAGTTGATTTTGAAATAAGAGAAATCTTCTTTTGTTACACCAGAAAAAAGTAGAAAATGGCTACCAGAACAACTTCTGAAATGCTGGGGTAAAGCCTTTAAACCATTTCAAGTGCAGTCTGAATCCAAATGGATGCAATTTTAACTCCAGGAGAGGTCATCAGCCTGATCTATCGCCCTACATTACAAAGATCAAATCAAGTAAGTATGGCAGTTCTCAACTGGCCCTTAAAAACTAAGCATTTTCAGTTTCTCTGTGGTAAGTTTATCAAATAAAGCATTAATTTATTAAATGGTCTGACTTTCAGATACTGAAATTGGTATACTCAATGTATATTAAAGTTGAAGAAAATGAGGCAGGGAGTTAAGTTCTGAGCACCTTTGAAAGATGAACCTGTAATTCAGATGCCTAAGTATGGCTAAAGATCGTGAGTTAAAAACGTTAGTAAGTGCACAAGCAGATTTATTTGCCATGGGAACAGATGATACATAATTCAGTCTGGAGAAGAGACAGGAGAAAACAAAAGAAAATCACTTCGCAGTACCAATATAGATTCACCTGTAGTACAGTTAAGAAGTGTAATTTTTCCATATTTCAAATTCATTTTAAAATGGAGAAGACTAAACTATTATGGTTCTGTTGAAGGAAAGATGTGGAAGGAATAAGATAAAGAGTTGCAAAATCAGAGCAAGACACCGAGTTCTAAAACCAGAACTCTTCCACTTCTGTCTCTCCCTGCTGCATTAGCCAATAAGTAAATAATAATTAAAAAAAAAAAAGAGGATGACAGCATTAATGACAAAAACATCTGCCTAATCTCTTCTGTAATTCACGAGAACACGCGTAGACTAGAAATGAATGAGTAAACCTGTGTGCATGTCTAATCTCTTGTTGCATGGGTGGTGAAAAGGAAACATTTCTCTTCTAAATAACCCTTTACCTTTATTTACTTACTTATTCAGAAATAACCCTTTACCTATCCGCATACGCTTTTTTTTTTAAAATGAGAATTTCACTGAAAGCACTTCATTCGTACTTCATAGAAAACAAAACTATTCCTGTGGGGTTTGCATTCTGTTATGTGAACTGATGTCAAACAGGGCAACACATTAGCTGCGAGTTGAAATATTACTAGTTTGAAACGCAAACACCCCCAGTGGTGGTATTCACAGCAAGAGGCTGTTCTCTTTTATCAACAGGGACAACAGCTTTCTATTTGTCCCCACACCACCTGCAGACTGAAAGTTAAAGCACTGAAATCCTCTACACAGGGAGCACGACTTCCTAACCTGGTGAGATGGTCGGTCAATGCCAGCACTACCAGGAAACAAAATTCTACAAGTACCCTGTATCAGTGAGAGTTCCTCCTGCAGACCCCTGCTTTCTCTTACAAAACGGAGACTCTGGAGAGAGTCATTCTCTTTAGGAACCCGACCTTTCTCCAACACGCTCTCCGTTACCGAGTTCTTCTCCACAACAGCAATTCTTACCTGTGCTTTGCGTGCTTATTCTGTCTTTCAGGAGCGCATCACCAAGTATTTGTCGATAAAATATCAAGAGGTGGATGTAGCACATACTGCCAATTAACGTTTCTGGTAGCAAGCTATTGGGAAAATAAAGAACGTGCAGTTGAGATTTTTATTCAAAACTGCTCCTACAAAGCATTGTTCACCACAACTTGAGAGCAGTCACGGTTTCACGGAGATTATTATTAGCTCATATTGGCATCTCCCTGACTCTGTCACAACTTTTGAAGGTGCACATTGATGCAGCTGTAACAGCCAGACTCTTGCTGTTGCAGTTTTCGATCTTATCTAAACTTGAGGACTTTTTGTTTGTTTTCAACAAAATAGCTCTAGGTGTCAAACAGAGATCGAGTACAACATGCAGGTGACGTGACCCTCAGAGTTTTCCATAGCCAGTGTTCCAGGGCAGGGGAACGCTTTAGATCTGTGGAACCATTCTAGGCCATCTGAAATACTTTTTCATTTTATGGCAGCACACACAAATACTTACTTCAGGATGTCTTTTGACTGCGCACTTAATGACCTCAGTTTCACTACAAGCACAGGCTGTTTCTTGAGTGTTATAAACTGATGAAAGACACCACTGCCTGCTTAAGAAATAAATACCCGATGTGAAATCCGTCATTTTGAAAGAACATTAAGAATTACGTTACAAGAATGGACATTTAAATTTGGCAAGAGATGTTTTGCTAAAGCTGTAATGGTTTAAGGATGGTCTAAAAACCAGGAGGAACTAAAAACATACCAACATATCAACGTGTCGTCTAACATAAGCTATTGCCTCTCTCTAGGATGGGGGATTCATAATATGCGTGGAGTAACGTGGAGGAAGTGTCCAAACCAAAAAGGTAAAGGCCTTCTATAGCTTGCAGCATGTGTCACTGGCAAATGGGCGTTACCACAGCTTCCAGAGGAGAGCCATGGCCGCCCTTGTTTAAAACACAAGCGGTCCTTCGTCTGAACCACCTCTCAGTGAAGCTTTATTCAACCCCGCAGGGAAGAACCCGTACAGATGTTCTGAGGCATATTTATGCACATGTGGAACTTGTGCATAAGTGATACGGGATTGATGATATGTGACTTGAACAGCCTGGCTTGGGAACTCTTTAGACCAGTGTAACTGCTAGCCTTGTACCATCACCCCGTAGCCAAGACGCGTTAAGTGCAGTTAAAGAAATTATTGAATACATTTATCAGAAATAATCCTCAACCTGCAGACACTGGAAATTACAGAAACATTAGCACTGGCAGATAGTTCTGAATCCCACCAGCCCCAGCGATCAACTCTCTCTCACGCAAAAGGAGAACACGCAAAAGACAACCAGGCTGCAGTGACTGCACACTAACGAGAGCCCCAGCTGAGCACTGCACGTTGTAAAATAGGTATAGCATTTGTTGTATCGTTTCATTGCTATAATGTTCATGAGAAACCACACCTCTTCTTGATATCGATGGGTCGACCTCAACGCCCCTCTCATAGGGAGTGCCACCGTTTAATAGCAGCTCATACATCCTGTGAAAGAAGAGCAGCATAGTTAAAAGAAAAAGATGTAAGGATATGTGTTCTCACAACCACTCTCTGAGAAAGAAAGAAACTTGCTATCTCAAACAAAAACTGACACGGTGCTTGAGGTTATGACTAGTAATTATGTATAGTCATTTCATATAAAATACTAAGTAACCAAACCTCAAATGATAAATTTGAAACTTGTATTACATTGGGAAACTAGTTAATTATTTTAAAAGAAATTAGCAACACTATTCTCTTCCACGTGACCCCAACATTTCTCTTACATGAAATTTAGCAATTGTTTCACTAAAATGTTTTTGAGGAGTCATCACTTAAGTATCAAATTTTAGTTATGGAAGATTTAAAATGTTGAAGAATAATGTAATCCTAGTTCTGTCAAGAGTAAGTCAGTGTTGAAGCAATCATGCAATTTCACTCTCTAGATACCATCTACTTAATAGAATAGAACAACAACAGAAGAGAGCAGATTTAGAAGAGATTTAGAGACTTACAGACCAGCAGAAGTCTCCCATGTTGGGTTTTTTTTCCCCTGTAATCCAAATATATTTGGAATACACATATATCTATCTCTCTCTCTATATATATATATATTTGGTAAAAACCAAGTATTGCAAGTCTGATCTACAATGAATCATTTCTGTAAATGAACAGAAAGCTTTCCTACATTTAATAAAATAGAAACATGTACATTTTATTTTTTTAATTTAATAAAATAGAAACATGTACATTTATTATTCTTTAAGATTGTTGGACCCATCAACTAATCATAAATCAGCTGCAAAATATAAGCTTATTCATACTCTCCAAGTGAATGGTAAGAGATTCATTCACAACAACTCTTACCTGCTTCCAAGTCTTAGAAACCAATCTCCTAGTTTTTACATGGGAAAGGGACATACAGCAAAGTGCGCATAAAGAAGAGCCAGAATCAAAAACGACATTGTCACCTTCAATTTAGGTAATGATTCTATTTTATATAAACAGAACTCTAAGTAACCCCCTATTAACTCAGATATTTCCATTGTTTTAAAATTCCACTGAAGAATATTTTTAAACACATACTAACTTGCAACATTTCAAACCTGAACGTTGGGTCCAGGGAGCACTTTTCTCACACAAACTTAGTAGAACATACACTGGTGTGGAAGGAGGGCCAGCGTTCTCACTGACAGACCCAGTACAACCTGCACATTAGTCTGGATTACACCTGCCCCCGTCAGTGTGCGAGTATGAAATATGAACTTTACTCCTAGCCTAAAACAGATGTATATACATAACATATATAAATACAGAAAGAAGCAGAGAGAGAAGGAAAACATAGTAAGCTTACTTGGAAGGAACAGGCATTCCATTAGAAGTAAAAAGCTTCAGAAATGCCCAGCCACAGCTTAGCTCTCCTCTATCACCTGTTGACTAGAAAGAAAGAGAAACGTAAATAACTTGAGCAGCTAAACCAGAACGAATAACTGAACCACAAACAATTATTTAGAATAATCACATAAAAATGGTAAAAGACCCTGATTTGTGGTAAGCAAATACTATGTCACATTCACAGGTGCTTGAAGACGTTTAACCAAAGAGCACATACAGTTATGCTGAAGGTGATCATCCATGAACATATTTAGGAGACAAGGATTTATAAAGCCAAGAAATACACATTGAAGGGAAACCTAAGCACATCAAGCTCCCGAAAAAGAAGAAATGCACAGATACTAAGGTAAAAACCCCCAAACTTGCACTGATACTCTAAAGAATGCAGGACAGAAAGAAGGAGGGGAAAAAAGACACCCAGAGGATTTACCCATCTAATTCCAGAGTCAACAGTTTCCAAGGCAGTCACCCTGTGCATCAGAAGGCTTTATTCAGAGTACCAGAGACTGTGCCTGGGAAAGGGAGCTGATCCTGAGTGCCAGCCCATCCGTTTCCAGACCCCAAAAGCACTAATAACAGGTAGGAACTTGGAAACACTCCAGCCTTCATTTAAACTTACTCTGTAAACAGAAGCAGACAACTTACTTTGCATCATCTTGACTACTCCAGTTCACATGAGGAGGGCCATTATGCTCCATTAGGTCTCTCTGGACCATCACTTACCAACAGGCTGTTTATCACCAGGACTTCTATAGTCCAGTTCCCTACAGACGTACACTCTACTTATCTCCCTGCACAACAGTTCTGCATCCCCACCACGCTATCAGCGTGTCTCTCCTCCGCACCTCCACAGGCACTGCGCTCTTGCACCCTAAGTTCATACAGGTGTTAGTGAAAGAGAAAATACGGCAATACTCCCCTGTGCGACTTCTCTATCCATCTTTTCAGAATTCTGTTGCCCACCGTTCAATACCCTGCTTGCTAACCGTTGTGGTTACCCCACTTTTCATCTTTCACCCATGATTTACTTGATTACCAAGATTCACCTGAGGAAGACTGCAACCACAATGAAAACGTAAGTGTTCAGAAAAAGGCAGCAAGGGTTGAGTCAGTCTTGTAGACAAAGTGGCTGAGATCTTTCAGAACGGTGACCTGTTCCAAAAAGGCACCGTATCCTCCAAATATTAGTGTTTCTTATGCTCCTGCATAAGAAGGAGGCATCCGCCTTCTATTTATGGTAGTTCTTATGGGCTTTACCATCTATTGTGTCACTACCCGTTGTACTTTTCAGAAGCATATCCTAGATGGATAGGATATATCTCTATCAATTGCAGCTAGAAACCAGTGTCCGTACTATTTAAACAGTTAAAATTTTAGCTTCCAAACTATATAGCACAGTAGTCTGAAACAAATCACAAAGACAGAGAAACAATGCAGGAGCAGAGAGAGAGCTGGTCCTTTGCGATCACATTACATGAGATCTTTGGCAGACTAACAGAAATTATTTCAGTGTAAGTAAAGGTACATTCATGTCCACTAGTCAGAAAGTCTTTTATTCTCTAAATATTAACTAGAACTAAAAGTTCCAAAACCCAACATCTCTCTCCTCCCTCCCAGAAGCCAAAAGGAAGACAATCTTACAGTAAGCTAGGAAAAGTTCAGCTAAATTTCCATTTGGATCTCACAGTTCGCTGCTGGGACACTGCAGCTTAACGTCGAATATGGGACAGCTGGTTCACTTTATAAACCTGTGCTTGGAATGATTTATGCTGCAACTTTACACACTTACGTTGCGAATATAAGTGATGCCAAGTTCAAATAATATACCAATGTCTGAAGACAGAGAGTTGGACCTGATGAAACAGTCACCGTCCAGCAAGCTGGGTAAAATGCCCGTTACCTAATACAGAGAGAGGAGGGGGGGGGAAAAAAGCGAAGTGAATGTACCTATTAAAAAAAACCCTCTGCTTTTTAAAGGCCATCGAACACATCACTCATTCACATAAGATCTCAGACCCAATCCCATTGCATATAAAAGAAAATGATGAGTAGAGAACCAATTTCAGTTGAAACCTTGCTCCCCTTATTCTTTATCTTGCCATGAAACACAGCTACGTTACTGAGGTGTGTGATGACAAGCTATTAAAGAACTTTAGATGTCAAAAAGCACTTAATTCCCTCCAAGAACACAGCGACAACTGGGGTAAAACATGACAACACTACTGCCGTGAGCGTGGCCCTGCACGGCACCTGAAACATGGGACAAAGCACGCGCTCTTTCTTTAATGAAATCAAAGCAAAAGCTCACATGCAAAGTGGCTAATGTCTTCCCTTCTCCGTGAACACCGCGTAGTGCGCACCTGACAGCAATTCAAAGTTAACCAGTGCCACTGGCTAGATCACCAGTCCCTCCCGCTACTTCTCCTTCCCCCCAACTCTTCTCTCCAAAGTGTTTTTGCTAAAACACTTAGTTTAGTTTGCATTCATGCACTTCAGCAAGTCTTGCCTTTTCTGCACGTTCATTTTGGTTGCAGTACGTTTTATTTCAACATCAATACCAGAAGTAATAGACGTCACTAAATAAGCAGCTGTAAATAGATAGTTACTGGCTATGTCACTCCCTGAGTGAGATACCTACCCTCGGAGAAAAGGTCCACGTTTGAGGATTTTTAGGTTGCCATGTAGCTCTCACTGTGTGAATGTTGCTCAGCACCTAAAGCATGATAGTGGCGAAAAAAGCTAAGACAAGTTTTTCTGGAAAGCAACGCAGCTTTAAGAAAATGCAGTATTATCCCAGATTAATCCAACACTGCACACAACAAAGATAAAATTACGCTTTCTCTTCAACTTTATCAGATGGTTTCAGCTTAAAGGACTACAGAGGAAGTTTCCTCTGAAGCCACAGAGCACTTTCCAACCATCCTTGCTTGACATACACCAGTAATAGTCCGTTTGTTCCCAAGACTGTTCAGTGCAGCAGGAAGAAAACCGCCGGATTGTCAGCGTTAGATTCTGTTACAAAAAGCTGCTCTACACACACACACAAAGGAGCACAGAGGAACAACTGCAGGTGGGGAAATCTGAATACAACCCTGACCCAGCTATTCCCAGGCCCGTCACAGGAGAGAGATCGGCCCAGAAAAGGCTCATCTCCACAAACACAAAGGAGCAAAGAGGCACAATGGCAGGTGGGGGAACCAAAATCATGGACTCAGAGGAATGGAGCTCTCGCCCCAGCCCCTCCCAGGGCTGCCCAGGGGCCGGGTGTGATGCCCATCACGATGAGTCAAAAGGAGCGGCTCTCTGGATCACCTTACAGACCGAAAGGAGTTGCACTGCGGCATGCAGGGGAAGAGCATTTTGGGACTGCACAGGAGATGAGCCAAAGGCAGAAAAAGGGAGGGATCATGGTGCTCTGTGGAGTCACACGGGTGGGAAAGTAGAGGGATAAGTACACATGTCTGGCCATGCCCGGTGCCTGATCTGTCTGTCCTGTATTTTCATTAAACTCCATTTATAACTATTTTTCTGGGTGAATGGGCTCTCTGTTCTGAATGCATGTGTGTGTGGACGTCTAGGTGCCAGCAACTAGCCAGACCACAAGTCACTGGGGGCCTACATGTCTGTGGTGATTGCAACTGGAGGGAGCGAGGGTATGTGTGGCAGTGTGTGATCGCAGGCAACTATCAAGCCAGACTAATCGGAGAGTAAGTTAAGAGCTTGGGAGGCAGAGAGAGAGAGTGTCTGTCTGTCTGTCTGTCTCTCTCTCTCTCTGAGTGAGACAACTGGAGGAGGTGGCTTCCAGAGGGACCAGAGCGTGAAAGATCCTGAAAGATCCACACCTCAAGACTTTTTTTGATAGCCAAACAACTTACCCGGTTGCCGTCGAATAGACAGAGTCGAACATGTCTACTGAGAACCTGTATACTGACTCCTGGGAGAGGAATCATTTTACAGCTACATAAAGTTACAATCAGGGATACTCGAGTTGGTCTAGGATAGATCTGAAATACAGACAACAGAAGAAGGATTAAATCTACAGGCTCCTCCTGAACGTGGTGTCAGTTTCTTTTTATTTACTGAGATGACAGAGTGTAGCGTTCACTAGACTGGATTCTTCTAATCACAAAGCTTGTGTAGTATTAGCAGCAGCAACAACATTTCTTCATAAGCCTTTAGTTCTCTTCCAAGGAGACTGCTACAAATATTTTAGTGTGACAGACAGAAGGTCCTATCAAAGTTTGAGAAGACAGAAATATTCTAAAATGGTGCGAATCAAGACATAATCATTAGCCAAAATGAAAGACGACAAATGAAATTGGTGATTTCACAGGGCCTAGCAGAAGTTTATAGTTTAAAAATTGAGACTAGTCACCCATGCAGATCTGCTTCACCCCAGACAGGGAAGGAACACACAAACTTAAGGTGAAACGTGACTCTTAAAAGATACCCAACATGACAATTTGTACTGATTTTTTGCCTGTTAGAGAGTAGGATGTGATAACATCTACCGCCTAAGGAGCCTGGATTGACATCGAAATCTATCATCTGTTTCACAGCAATATTTACCCACCGATACGAAATATTGCTAGCAGTTCACATCTACAGATCCTGTCATTTCTCTCAAACCAAAAGCAGCATAGCTGTAATACAGCATATACTGTAATACTCACAGTATTTTTGTCAGAGTTCCACACCAAGTCTTTGAAAGCCAGCTGTGATGGAGTAAGTTCAGGCTGCAAAAAGTAACTTGCTCGAAACTGATTGCCTACGACGAGAGTAATTTTAAAAAATTCTTAAATTTTTTTATCATCTTTATTGTCACAAAACGAACACCACCCAAAATTCAGATGTGGCTAAAGTCCATTTGAATATTTGACTGGTCCAAACAAAACTATGGAGCTATCTTCTACAAGCACCCTTTAAAAAGGGTACTTTTACTATTTGCAAGTGTTCTTCAGTATCTCATTCCAGAAGCACAGTAATTTAATTAACAAAAAGAGCCATTGACTTAAGAGTTTTTAAAAAAAAGACTAAGAAAATAGGAGATGTGTCATATACTCGGTGAAGAAACTCCAAAAGATCTCCGAGAAAAAGGGAAGATTAAAAAAATCATCATTTTCTGCAATGTCAACAGGAAGTATCTTCCAAAGAGGAAAAATCTTTGAAACCATTAGGAAATTTGTCATTGCCTCCGTGTGGCCAGGATTTCACACAGATACATTAAAACTTAATTGAAGAAGAAAGAAACGCCTTTTATACATTATTTGACGGGTCAAACATAGCCTGTACAGATTACCAATTATAATTAAGCAGTACTGATTTTAGCCCAATAGGCTAGTAGCCAGGATAAGAAACTCACCACAGAGACTTGAGAACCCTGCACTGCAGTTATTATGAGGAAACCTTACCTTCTTCTAAGAGCTGGGAAAGCGTGGATTGGCGGAATCCTGCGGGAACTGCTCCTATGGTTGCCAATACCTCCACTGTGTCATTCTATTGAAAAACAAACAAACAAACAGAGAGTAGTATTCCTGCTATTTAACATCTAAGTCTAACCTAATTTAGAACTCTCGCACAACCAGTATCAGAGACCTGGGGCATCAGTCACCTCTTCTCATCTGAAGCTAGTTTGGCCCATCTCCAGGAACTACTTTTACTCTGTTTCGTGCGTCAACCCAGCTGGGCTCCCAGTTTGTTAAATCCCCCTTCCATTTCAAAGCAGCAGCAGAGCAGCCAGTTCCAGAACAAAATCACACCCTTGAAAGAAACGGTGTGGCACTACTCTGGCAAAACAGCGAAAGACATCTCATTTGCATCGTCATTCAGGCACATGGACTGGGCTGCAGCCTATTTCTAAAGCATTAGAGAACCTTAGAATTTCTTACTACAAAAAAACAAGCTAGAGATGTTAATTAAAACACTGTCCTGTACTATGAGAAACAGCGTTTGGTAAAAGGCAAACCTCGTCTACAAAATAATTAACATTATGGTAGATGAAGTTGCTATGTAAGAGATGCACCTACCTCTGTGATAGCTCTTCTTACAGCACTCCAGTGAGAATCTGTTCTGGAAGAAAAACAATGCATTTTTTATAATATATCATCCTCCTGTGGACAAAAAATTAAACACTAAATACAGGTTTGTCTTCACATACCAGCAGCTTAATAACCATATCTATCTGAGATACTAATAATGATACATTTCCAGCTACTAAGACTAATTGCTAGACTATCTCATGAGCTGGAACGTAATTTGATACATGACCCAGTCATTCTTCGATTTTATGAGGGGAGGGGGGGGGGAAAGGCAAACCAAAGCAAAACTCCCAAACAAACCCACTCAAGTAAAAGTGCGTCTGCAAGCTCAAAAAAAAGCAAGTGTCTGCTGTACTGAAAAGGAAAATGCAGTCACAAAGAACCAGATACCCTTCCGAGGTATTCTCACTGTAAGAAATGTACTGCCAGATTTAAGGAGGAGGAAGAATAATTTTATACTTACTTGCTTTCGCATCATCCACTTACCTTTTTTTAATTTCAGTTCCATCTGCTGTTTCATCCACCACTTCTATGTGTTCTTCACTTTGCTCTTGGCTGTCGACATCGTCGTTATGGACCTGTAATTCAGATTCAAAAAGGGAAAGCACGTGATTTCTTCACAGTTCTGTTCTTAGAAATGCTTTCTCCAACCATAGCACGTGTTAATAGTTTAGAAGAGGAGATCTTCTGTCTGTAATGACCTATCGCTCCACAGCACTGTAACTGCAGAACACTGCCCTTAGCTCTGCGGTCACAGCAAGGGATTGGAGTATTCCTACAAGTAAGCAAGAGAATGCATTTGCAAAGCGGATTCTTTAAAAAGAGAAATACATCAGCATCACGAAGTAAAACGTTAGCTACTCTGCGTGCTCTTCAGTTACCTTGTGAAAAGCTCTGTTCCACGGGGTAAAGGTTGGACTAGCAGGACTCACTCAATCCAAACTGTACCCACAGTTAAATGTGCACCACAATTGTACACCGGATATATGTGCACAAGTACATAAACTAACATGTGTAAGCCACTCTAAAAAGGAAAATTCAAAAGTTACAAAACTTTAAAATCTATTTTTGAAAAGGTTCTTCCGTGTCAAATTACAAAATACTCCAACATTTACATGGACTCACATTTCATATAAATTATGAAAAGCCTGAATTAGTCCATAGCAGCTTGGAGTCTTCGGAGTTGACCTTGAGTGACAAAGATGATGACTTTCACATTCAAGAAACTTCTCTGCGCTTATACGTCACATCTTCACAAGGCACAAAACCGCTGCTTTTGCTAGCTATCTCCATACACGTGTATACAAACATGCTGTTATTTCCAAGGAACTGGCAAGACACCGCTGTGTCCCCCCATGTAAGCATGATGATCAAATTTTATGCAGCTATATTATCATTGATATATATAAAACAACAGAGGTGAGACTAGAACAGAAGGAGGTTGCAGCACACTAACCGCAAGATAGGTTCTAGGAACGAGGCCTCTCTCCCCTTTCGAGTTTTCAGCTACCCACCAGCCATCCGCCTTCTTGTCACGTATAAGCAGGACCTCACCTTTCTTTGCCATTAGAAGGAGAGACAGAGACAAAAGACAACCAAATATTTCAAAACGGCTCCAGGCACAATTAAAAAAAAAAAAAAAACAAAAAAACTCCTGAATTAGTCCATAGCAGCTTGGAGTCTTCGGAGTTGACCTTGAGTGACAAAGATGATGACTTTCACATTCAAGAAACTTCTCTGCGCTTATACGTCACATCTTCACAAGGCACAAAACCGCTGCTTTTGCTAGCTATCTCCATACACGTGTATACAAACATGCTGTTATTTCCAAGGAACTGGCAAGACACCGCTGTGTCCCCCCATGTAAGCATGATGATCAAATTTTATGCAGCTATATTATCATTGATATATATAAAACAACAGAGGTGAGACTAGAACAGAAGGAGGTTGCAGCACACTAACCGCAAGATAGGTTCTAGGAACGAGGCCTCTCTCCCCTTTCGAGTTTTCAGCTACCCACCAGCCATCCGCCTTCTTGTCACGTATAAGCAGGACCTCACCTTTCTTTGCCATTAGAAGGAGAGACAGAGACAAAAGACAACCAAATATTTCAAAACGGCTCCAGGCACAATTAAAAAAAAAAAAAACACCCACAAAAACTTATTTTTTCCCACAACAGAGATCAGAGACCGCCGCGACAGACCCTGCCGCTACAGAAGGTGGCAAAAGGACACTGGACTCCACCAAGCCAAATGCACACCGGGAAAAGCCATTTCTCCCTGAATCCCGCAAGGAACTGGCTGAATCCCAGAACCATAGGATTTAATTATAGTTATTGCTTAATACAGAATGATCTGCAGTACCGACACGCCAAGAAACTTTTTACAGAGACATATTTACCGTAAATGTGAGATCCCCTTCCTGCTGTGCATTAAAGTTTCCAACTGCAATACATTCTTTAACATTTGGATCATCCAACAATTTATCCTCGTCTTCATCATCTGTTTCTTCACTGTCTTCCTCCTCGCTACTTTCTTCATCGTCACTCTCGTCCTCTTCTCCATTTTCATCTTCTGTTTGAGGATCCTTCTGACGTTCCTCACCCCTGCCCAAAATAAATCAAACTTTTTTTAATTATTATTTTAACAAAACTTCTTGAAATTGCTGTAAAGCCTTGCAATATGGGCTTCTCCGCAAGGACGTTATCCAGATACAGAATTTTCATTCCTGTGTTTTACTCTCTGTCCTGATCTGAAAGAACTCCAAAATCCCAATGGTGTTTCCTCCCGAAGCGTCCAGACCACATTGCATCCTCTCCTCTCAACAGCCACGTTATATTTCAGCCATTAACCAACGCCCTCAGAAAATTCCAGCGAGTCGTTCTTGACTGCATCAAGAAAACAAGCCCCATAAGAGCTGGCTCTTCAGCACTTCTTTTTTAACTATATGTTAAGATCATAAAGGGAATGAGCTAACAATTTTTCAGGGTCCTTTCCAATCGTACCTGTACAATTCTGTTAAAGTGCAGATTGTATTTATTTGTTTAAGCTACTTACACCGCGTAATTCATAGTCCCATTATCCTGATCCAAGACAAGAACAAGTTTCTGCAGCTGCTGAGAGAGCTTTAGCAATAGCTTTTCTTCTTCTTCTTTCCTCTGATCGTAATTCCCCACAGGCGCAGGCTCATCAGCCTGAGAAAGAACACCACAACAAATTGCTCAAAGAATCAAAGTTAAAGTTCCCCTGCAAAGTTAGTTTTCCAGACACGTTTTACAAGCTTTCGCCTTCCTGGGCTGCTGTCACTCCCTGTTTAGTGACATCGTTCTTGCCCTTGTACTCTGCCAAGATGAAATTTCGTGTCGAATTTCAAATCTGCATTCTCCGCTTCCAGTACAATGCATCGGGTTGATAAACATTTTATAATGCACCGGGTTGATAAAGACTTCAAGTGCAGAACTTGTACACAATAAAGCATTAAAAATGTGCTTTTGAATAATATAAATGGATCCCAGAGATCCCAGCTGGGGGTTGTGCAGCGCTAGGCATTGCTCGCGAGGCATCTAAAATCAAAGGAGGCTGGCGTTCTCTAAACACTCACCGTGATGCATTTTGGAGAAAACCGTTAACAAATCTGTCCCCTTACTTACTTTTTTCAAATTATGAAGAGCATTTGTATTCTCATCCACCAATTTCTTCAGCTGCATACATCTGCATTGACAGCAAGACAGATAAATAGCGTTTTCTTAAAATTCCGATAGACGGGCGACCCAAATCACGCGTGCTTACCGAAACGTGTAAATTTAGATACTCAGACCCTCACCCAGCTCCGTCTGCATGCAGCTTGACAAACACCAACGCGACCCCAAACGGCAGCTTAGCTGATTATTACCTGCGATGTGCACGTTCCCACTTAAAACTACCTCAGCCCCCGAGGACGGGCAAGGCAGCTACCCCGCTGCTCCTGCCTGGAAGAGGGATGGGCGAGAAGGGGCAGGGAAGAGATCTGTACAGTTAGGAGGAAAAGGGAGAGGGGTACAGGGAACCGTCTGCTCCTTCTCCCGACGCACAGGCGAGGGGGAAGGGAGCGGCTCCGCCGGGGGCTTTGCTCAGAGCAACCAGCGGACGGTTCTTTCCGCGACGGGAGTTAAGCTACGCCACGCCTGGCCACGGAGCGCTACTAAAGAGCGGGGGGGAAGGCTGAGGGCAGGGGCCGGGCAGTGGGAGCGAGGCCGGGTCCCCCGCGGCCCCGGCGGGCGGGGCCCCTTCGGGCGGCGCCTCACCTCCGCGAAAGGGCCTTCCGCTGCCCGGGGGCCGAGGCCGCGCTCTCCGCCCGCAGCGCCT